AGGGATTCTTCTTTTCCTTTAATACCCACATTTAGGGCATATTTTTTTCTCTCTAATATTTTCCCGTGTCCCTATTGCCAGTTAGCTGAGTTCAGATTTCGTCATCTCTCACCTGGATCCTGGTTAGCTTCAACACCACCTACCCTAACTTCCACTTCCAAACTTTTCTCCACATTGCTTGTCAGGGTTACTTTCTAAACTACACACATGACCCCATAACCACCTTGCTCAAAATCTTTCCATATCTCTCCAATGCCTATAGGATAAAAAATATTTAAATTCTTTAGCATGGCCTCCAAGACCCTTCATAATGCATGCAAATCTCCAGCCTTGGATCCTGTTGCCCATCTCCCTACACTACCACCACACTAACGTGGATCTCCCTGAACTTATGTAGAGTTGACATGATTTCTGAAACCTGGGGAAATAACAGGAATTGGGGGCATTTGCCCCTGCCCTTCCCTCAACATAAAAACCCTTGTCCTCTAACACAATGATGATTCAGTACCATGGAGAGCGTCACATATTCAAACCCCCTCCCCTAACCGTTTTATTCATGCTCTGTCTATACTGTCTGCCCAGCTCCGTCCTCCCACTTGTCCTTCAGAAACCAAGACAACACAACTTCTTCCAGGAAGCCTTCCCTGGCCCATCTGGACAATCAGTCATTTCCTCCTGAGCTACTTGAGTAACTTGTATATCTCTCCATCACACCAAACTCATTATGTTGATTATTTGTACATAAGTGCCTCGCTCACCCCACAGGCCCTTGAGACTAAGGGCCCATACCCAGTCTGATTCATCTCTGCAATCCAGTACAGAGAAGGTGCTTAAAGAATGTTTGTTGATTGAATGAGTAAATGACATTTAGCAGGTGCTCAGGAAATGTTGATTTGTATCATGTGTCTGTTGCTCTAAGTGACTCAGAATCAGACAGAGTCCTCTCCTTGTCCCTCTGAAAAAGGCATTTTCCCCCTGATTGACTCCACCCTCCATGAGCCTCCACTATTTGATTAGCCTTACCCATAGGTCACCACCAACGATGGAAGGAAGGTACCCTCTCTCTACTCTTGCTGCTGCCAAACTGGTTACTTAGTTCCCAGCCTGGGTCTGCCTCACAAGACTGCTCAGAATGCTTTGTGTCTGCCTCTGTCTCCTGCTCAGAACAGATGGTTCTGGGTCCTCACTTACACAGAAGTTCCTGTTCTGTCATCTGCATATTTTTAACACTTTTCTAAATTATAACAACCTCCATCTCCTTGGCACACAGACCCAGAGGTTGTCAGTAATGAAGAATCCTTTGGGGGACATTGAATCCAGACTTTACTTTGTCCCATGGGGAGGCTACATCTTCAAGAGAGGCAGTAACCTGCCCAAGATCACTGTGGCAGACATTCTTTTTTATTGTTTTGTTTTCCTTGCTTTTTTTTTGATGATCTGAGTCTATTTTTTTTCCTACCAGCACCCTGCTTTCCTGTCTTAACAGAGCTATAAATCAGGACATGGGCATAGAATCCAACTTAGCACAACTCACTTCACTTGGTCAGAGTTTTAAATCTAGAGTAGAGTGGCAAAAGAATAGGTAGACAAAGTCTGGAGTTCATGTGAAGGTCCCCAGAAAAGATGGCTCAGGAATCCTGGCTCCTGAATCTCCAGCCTTCCCATCTATTCTGTGAGTTTTCAACACATCCCTTTCCTGCCTAACGTAGTCGGTTTCTGTTGCATACAACCCTAACTGCTGTGGTCACCAAGGGAGCACAGAGGGTGAGATCACACCACTTCCCTGTGGGTGGGATAAAGCATGTTTCTAGAAACTTCTAGCTGCTTCCTGCCAACTCTGTCATTAGAGTCTGCATTCGACCAAAGAGGTTGCATGGAGGAAAAGCAAACACTTTAGGGAATGAAGTAGACAGACTAATGTCTACTGTTGCAAGAGAACAAGTCAGGGTTGGGGGGCCAGCTGGATGCATGTGCACAACATTCTAAAGGTTGGAAGGTCAAGGTTGGAGGAGAGCGTTTATCAGTATCCTCACATGCTACACATCAGCAGAGAGATGAGCAGGTACACACACTGGCAGACACCTGCATGCCAGGTGACACCTGAGTGCTGGAATGTAGCATGTGTCCCAGAGAGTAATTAGCACATTAACCAAGAGGGTCAGGCTTGAGAAAGCCTCATCCTGCTGAGCAGCCTCTTCCCTCCTTGATGTTCCTAACAAACAAGTCCTAAGTCTTAGTGACTGGGATTACCCAACACGTGCCCTTTAGACTGGGAAGTTGTGTTTTTATTTAACAGACTCGTGAGTGGTCAGACTTTGTCAGGTGCTCAGAGACCTATACCTGTGACCTGAGCTCCAGTGAGACAGGAGGTGGGGGCTGGATAAAGCTGGAGTCTGCATTGGCTGCAGAGATTCTGGTCTCTGTCACCCCCAGGGTCCACCAGCTCTGGAGTCCCTGCCCTGTCAACCCACGTCACACAATTCAAACAAAAAAACAAACAAACACCTAAACCTGATTCCAGGGTTTTCTTGGTTGTGATTTTTACAGAAACCAATCACCAAGCTACTAGGTGAGTTCAAACTGCTAACCTTTAGGTTAATAATCAAAAGTTTAACCTATTACGGCACACAGGATCCTAACAGCCTGACCTTATCCAGCTCAGTCCCAAGAAACACCTCACTGCCTTGTCTGGAAACCCAAAACACCGGAATGAATTTGAGTCAGGAGGCACAACTTGATTATGGGATTAATGCCCCTAGTTCCTGGGTCTAGCATTGGAAGTCCCTCTGGACCCAGCCAATCTTTCCTACCTCCTATAACACACAAACACACACTTCCCTCCAGCCATGCCACAACCCTTTCACGGATCATCCCTACCTTTCCCCACCCTACTCCCTCCACCTGGAATTCTCTCTCTCCACACCTTCTCCTGCTATTTACCAGCTCCCAGGCCAGAAGGCAAGGCGCTCTGGTTGCACAGTGGCTGCGAACCTCAAGGTCAGCAGTTTGAAACTACTAGCCGTTCCGTGGATGAAAGATGAGGCTTTCTCTCCCGTAAAGATTTACAGCCTCGGAAACCCTATGCAGGGTGGCTGTGAATCCATAGCACAACACACCCACCAGGCCAGGAGGTAATCCCTTCCTCTGCCTATAGGTGTGCCTCCTTCAGCATGAACTTCATTTGCCTTCTTGTTGCCAGTTGCTGTGGATTCTGACCCATGTGTTACAAGGTAGAACTGTTCCATAGGGTTTTCTTGGCTGTAATCTTAACAGAAGCAAAACTCAGGCCTTTTGTTCCACAGACTGCTAGGTAGGTTCAAACCACCCACCTTTAGGTTAGCAGTTGAGTCAGCCAGGGACCTTTCTTTCTCTTGGCTTAGCTGAGCATTTTCCTATGCTGCCTTGTGAGGTCCAAGGGCAGGGGTGGAATCTGAGTCTCCACTGACACCCAGTGGGCACCCAGTGGGCACCCAGTGATACCAGTGCGTGTTTTGGAGCGGACATGAAGAAGCTTCTGGTTTTCCTCCCTATCCACTGGACTGAGGGGTGGAGAAGAGGAGTGATGCTTAACTCTTGGAAAACCCTTGACCATTTTCAGTTGCACTATCTGGAAGCTAAGTTTCACAGCAGTTCTTCTCCAGGACTGCTGGGAGGAAAGTTCAGAGTTGGACTTCTGGGAGAACCACAGGAGGCCTGGAACAGAACAGTCAAGTCCAATACATCTCTTGTGTATAGTTGGGGAGTCTGCAGCTCAGAGAGGGACAGGAAGTGGTGGAGGTCACACAGTCAATGAGGGAGAACTGTGGCATCCGGACTTCAACCCTGATTAGCGGCTTCCTTCTCAAGAGAAACCAAATATCTTCATGGATCCTTTTCCTTGTCATTTCAGGGGCAGCCCTGCTCATGAGCTCCAAGTATCAACTCATTGGGCTGGTCAGTCTGTGGTTTCTGCTGCAGAGGGAGGGCTGAGACTGGAGTCAGGAGTGGGTTAGAGTTGGGGGATCCCAGCCCTGGAGCCTATCACTTCCAACCACTAGGCTCAGGGAGGATACCCTGGGAGGCAGGGCTGGAGCAAGGAAAAGTGAGGAGTTTTGCATGGGGCTGAATCACTGCTCCTCCGCAGTAGTCAGGAGGCAGGCACAGCCTGGCACAGCCAAGGTGGCAATCAGCAAATGAACAAGTGATCCCCTGGCCTGGCACCAGGGGAGGGGAGGGCAGCTCCTACTCATGGGCAGAAAAAACATGCCTCCCTACCACTGCCCGCCTGGAAGCTGCTGATCTCCTGCAGGGCCCAATGAGCCCAGCTGCTCTGAACACAGCAGCAAGTGTGGGTCCCACAGAGCCTACCCTCCCCATGGGCTATGCTGGAGGTCAGAGCGTGAGCAAGGAGTATGGCTAGGCATCCTGTGGGCAGCTGGGTCTGGCAAGGAACAGACATGAGAGCTGCTCTGGGTGGGCCCATGGAGCTTGGAGTCATACCCCACCCCAGTACCCTAAGGGAATCCCATGGTCCAGACCACCATCTTTGCAGAGGGGTACCCCATGCCCACCTGACCCTGCAGAGTGGGGAAGCTGGATCAGTGAGGGTCTCACGAGCTGGGAATGGGGACACCAAGAGACCCGTGCTGAACAGTTTCCCTACTTCAAGGGTAGTCCTGCTTCTTTGGTCTGGACTATCCACCTTGCCTGTACATGCTTTCAGCAGAGGTACCCTCAGGCTAGAAATAACATGCTGGTCCAAAGGCCTGAGCTCCAGGGGCTTTGAGTTGTCTACACTTTAATCAGGGCCCTTGGCAGCCAGGCTGAGGTTAGATGTGGGCATGGGCCCAGGCCTCCTGTGGAGGACACGGACAGCTCAATTCACAGCCCCGCCGATGGGCCTGCCAGCTCTCTCTCGAGGATAGATGAAGTGGCAGGTGCAGCTCGGCCGGGGTCCCTGAGACACAGCCAAAGGTCACAGAAGCTCCACTACTGTGGAAGCCAACACCAGGAATGAGGATTCAGGCAGAGTGGGCAGGGTCTCGGGGGTCTTCTGTAGGGGCTTCTGCACCTAAAAGCAGACTTTGTCTCTCCACAGCCTTGCTGTCCAGGGTCCCTGTGGAAGAAAAAATGCTGCTCAACAAGGACCCGAGGAGGCAGGCACTGCTTTGGCACCAGACCTTGACACAATCTGTCTGGAAAAAGGTCTACATTCCATTTGCAAAATAAATCCCCTTCTCATCATCGTCTCTGCCACCTCCACAGTCTTAACCACATCTTCTTAGCCTTAAATTACCGCAGTGCCTCCTAGGGTCTCTCAGCCTCAACTCAGACCCCCACCATCTGTTCTCAACACAACAGCCAAGTACTGTTCTTACGATGTAAGTCTGACCTCTCCTGCTTCTCCCCTGGAAGCCCAACAGTGAGGAGGAGACTCCCCCAGGCTCCTTCTGCTCTGGTCTGGTTACTGCTTCCCTTACTCTCCTCCTTTCCTGTCCTCATCCACTTCCGGCACACTCCCACCTCTGGGCCTTTGCTCAGTCTGTTCTTTCTGCTGGGAACAGTCTTCTCCAGCTCCCATACCTCCTCCAAGCCTTTGCTCCAGTAGGTCCTGTGTGGTGAGGGCCTGTCCCCACCTGTTTCTCACCACCTCCTTTCCTGGTTTGTCTCGCTGTAGCACTTATTACTGCAAACACTGTATTGTTTGCTTTTTCTGTTTGCTTTTCCTTCATCTCCACCCCTTAGAGAATCGGCTTTATGAGGTGTCTGCGACTTGGCCTAATTCGTTCACTCTCCAGAACCTGCAACTTGGCCTGGAACTTAAATCAGTTGTCATCTAGTTGGTTCCAACTCATGACCACCCTATGTGTGTTCAAGTGCAACTGTGCTCCATGGGGTTTTCAATGACTGATTTTTCTGGAAGTAGATTGCCAGACGTTTCTTCTGAGGCATCTCTTGGTGGACTTGAACCAGCAACCTTTCAGTTGGCATTAACCATTTGAACCACCCAGGACTCCAGCCTGGCACTCAGTAGGAGCATAATAAATATTTGTGAATGAATGAACTAACAAACTGGCCAGGGACTCAAGACCTGGCTTCAGAGGAGGGGTGGGAGGACCTGGGCCAGTCCGCTGGGCCTGGGCCTGATCTCTTTCCAGGTGCAGCGCAGTCAGCAGGAAGCAGCCACCGCCCAGGGCAATGACAAAGGCACAGCACAGGAAGCTGTGTTGCAGACTGAGGAAGCGCTGAAGGTAGGAGTTGGGGCGCCCGGCACGCAGAGTGCTGGAGATCTGCAAAGGAGGGAAACTGGTTCTGCCAGGCCCACCAGACCACCTTCCCCAAGACCTTTCCACCCCACCCATCCCACACTCAGGTCTTACAAGTCCAGTGAGGTAGGGGCTGCTGGCATCTCCCAAGACATGGCCAACTGTGATCTGAAGTGCCTCTGCTGTCCCCCGGCACCTGGGCACCACCACAGACTGCAAAATACAAGGACCAGGGCAGCATCCCAAGAGAGGGCAGAGAGTGGAAAGCCCTCACACCCGCCTCTTTCCCACCTGGCAAGGCCAAGAGCCTGGAAGTGAGACCTGCTAGCCAATTGAGTAGTCACCATTAAAACACTGGAGGCCCCTTCTTAAGGCTCTGCTCTCAAACTGGGAAGGGACCAAGCATCTTTCAACTGATGAAAGGATAAACAAAGTGTAGCGTATATGTTGTTGTTGTTATTAGGTGCCGTTGAGTCAGTTCTGACTCATGGCGACCCTGTATAGGGTTTCCAAGGCTGGAAATCTTTACAATTTTCTTTGCCTCATTTTTCTCCCGTGGTGGGCTTGAACTGCCAACCTTGTGGTCAGTCCAGTACTTTTCCTACAAAGTATATGTGAAGGGGCTTCAAAAAGTTCATGAAAGAATAGAACTATAAGATAATAGAATTTTTCCATGAACTTTTTGAAGCCTCCTTGTATATACAATGGAATATTAATCAGCCATAAAGAGAAATTCAGTTCTAATTTGTACAGCAAAAGCTGGACAAAGAATAAGGAAGACCAAAGAAGTACTGATGCATTAGAATTATGGTGTTGGTGAAGCATGTTGGATAAAGCATAGACTGCCAAAAGCACAGACAAATCTCTCTTGGAAGAAGTACAGCCAGAATTTTCCTTAGAAGCAAGGATAGCGAGACTTCATCTCACGTAGTTTGGACGTGTTGTTAGTAGGGATTAGTCCCTGGGAAAAGGGCATCATGCTTGGTAGAGGGTCAGCAAAAAAAAACCCCAGAAACACCCTGTGAGATTAACTGGCACAGTGGCTGCAATAATGGGCTCGAACACAACTACAACTGTGAGATGGTGCAGACCAGGCCAGTGTTTTGCTCTGTTTTATAAATAATTGCTAATGAGTTGGAAAAGATGCAAGGGTACCTAACAACAACAGTAACATGTGGATAAACCTTGAAATAAGTCAGAACCAAAAGAATATATTGCATGACCCTATTATATAAAAGGGGTCCTGGTGTGGCGCTGTGAGTTAATGCGTCAGACTGCAATGCCGTTTGAACTGCAAGGTCGGCTGTGCAAGCTCACCAGTTGCTCCTCAGAAACCCTATACTACAGGGTCGCAATGATTCGGAATCAACTAGATGGCACTACACAACAACTTATATTTAAAAAGTACCCTGGTCGTGTAGAGGATTGTGAGCTGGGCTGCTAACAGTCAGGTTAACAATTTGAATCTACCAGTCACTTCAAAGGAGAAAGATGAGGCTTTCTGCTCCCATAAACCTCAGAAACCCTATACAGTGTAGTAATGAGTCGGAGCTGACTCCACAGCACTAACCACCACTTACTTATAGAAAATGTGCAGAGTGAATAAATGCATGGGGCAGAGGGTGGGTTCATGGTTGCTATGGGGAGGGAGTTTCTATTTGGTATAGCATAAAGGTTTGTCAAGATTGACATTGAAATTTAAAGAGACAGTATAGACATAAAACCAAACGGCCACC